GCTGTAACGGTCAGTTCTCTGGGCCACCCGAGGGGCTGCCTGGGCCGTGTGCCAGGTGACCAATAAACCCACCTGGTTTCACAGCACTGGGTGAGTGTCCCTGCAGATGCTGGGTGAGGGGCACTGATCCCTGAGAAGAGGACACATCTCCCCCAGGGTCTGTCCCAGCTGGACTTGCTTCCTGGAGTTCCCGGGGTGAAGCGGGGGTAGGCTGCATCCCACAGGTCCAGTCTAAAGAGGCGGTGAAGCTGTGTGGCTTACCTTGGAGGAAGAGTGGGACCTGTAGGGGGTCTGGTCCACTGAAGGGCTCCTCCCAGAGACTATTCCAAAGCTGGGCCATAGCCCGACCCTATGGGTCTGTGACCCCGAATATTAGCCTTTTTTGCAACTGCATCACATTGTTGACTCATATTCAATTTGTGATCCACTGTACTGTCACCTTGCAGGTTATTCTCCACTGTACTTGTGCATTGGATTTTTACCTCCTAACTCAAGTATGTTGCACTTATCTGTATTGAATTACAACTTGTTGAATTCAGACCAATTCTCCAATTTGTCAAGGGCATCTTGAATTCTGATCCTGCCTCCAAAGTGCTCGCAGCCCCTCCCAGCTTGGTGTCATCCGCAGATTTTATAAGCCTCAGCTCCACTCCATTATCCAAATCAGTGAAAATATAGAACAGTACCAGACCCAGGACAGACTGTGACAGATTTATGTTACCAATCTGCCTGGGGCTTCAGGTGATCAGGCTGAGGCCGCAGGATCTTTAGGGGAGGAGAAGAAGGAGCACACCACGTAACTAAGTTTAAAGCTTTATTAACCAAATAACAGTGGTGAGTACTGGGCATGCCGCTCGTCACTCAGAGGGAGGAAGAAAGCATTAGTGCCCAAGCCTGAACCCACTTTCATACTTACACACGCACAACCCAAGGCTGGCCAAGCCTGGGTGTAACGTAAGAAGAAGGTCAGGGGGAAGGGTAGACGAGAGTTCTGCCATGTGCAAAGGTTGTCTAGAGTCCGTTGTAAATCTCCGACTTGCTTCAGCTTTCGGGAGTGTTTTAAGCCCTGGGTTCTTCCGGAAGCGTTTTCATCCAGGGACCCTCATCCCCCGTGCTCTCAGTACCAGTCCAAACCAGCCTTCCACGGCTCCCTTAGTTTCCCCAAAACACACCCGTTTCAGGGTCACGAGACTGTTGTTTTCAACTCACTGACCTTCACAATCTTACTAGTTTTACAGCCCCTTCAGTTCTGTCTGGCTCAGTTCTCCTTTCTCACGGCTGGCCAGGGTTGAGATACAGGCTTCTGGCTGTTGGGCAGCAGAGAGCTTGTTTGTGTGTGCTGGCCTTGGGCTGCAGTTTCGTTCCTTATCTTCAGGGCTAGCTGGATCGTCGAGTTAACCCGTTCCTTTCTCCCTTCCTCCCCCTTCAGCCTCTTGTAACCTGCAAAGGACTCTTCCACTCCACATTGACACCTTCAATCCTTCCCAAGATACTTTCCAATGCATATAAAGGCGTTAGCAATATACAACGCTGGTGCTGACCCAGGGGACCCCATGGGGTGGGGGTGGTGGGCATTTTATTGTGACAAGACCCTGGCAGGATCCCAGTAGATACGACCTCCCAATTGGACAGCGAACCACTGATAACTACTCCTTGAGTGTGGTCTTTCAACCAGTTGTGCGCCTACCTTATGGTAATTCCATCCAGACCGCATCCGTGGGAATGTGTCAAAAGCCTTACGAAAATCAAGACATATCTACAGCTTCCCCCATCCGCTAGGCTAATAACTGTGTCAGAGAAGGAAATTAGTTTGGTTTGGTAGGATTTGTTCTTGATAAATCCATGCTGGCTGTCCTAACCCTCTTATCCTCTAGGTGCTTACAGATTGATGGAATAATTTGTTCCAGTGTCTTTCCAGGTATTGAAGTTAGGCTGACTGGTCTGTAATTCCTTGGGTCCTCCTTGTTCCCCTTTTGAAAGACAGTCCTATGTTTACCCGTCTCCAGTCCTCTGGGACCTCACCCGTCCTCCGGGAATTCTCAAAGAAAATTGCTATTGGTCCCGAGATTGTTTCCACCAGTTCCTTAGTACCCTGGGTTGAAGTTTCATCAGGCCTTGCCGACTTGAATACGTCTAACTTCTCTAACCAGTCTTAGCCTGTTCTTTCCCCATTTCAGCTTGCGTTCCTTCCCCCTTGGGGTTCATATTAGTTGTGTTGAGGATCTGGTCACCATTAACCTTTTAGTGACGACTGCAACAGAATAGGCATTAAACATCTCAGGCTTTTGATGTTGTCAGTTATTAACTCTCCTTCCTCTTGCTCTTAATGTATCTATAGACCCACTTCTTACTGCCTTGTGTGTCCCTTGCTAGGTGTAACCTGGGGCCTTCGCCCCTACACGCCAGTGCCGCACTCTCGTACTCCTCCTTAGCAATTCGTCCCTCTTTCCACTTTTGTAGGATTCCCCACTCACCTACGGCAGCCTGTGCTTTCACCGTACTTGTGCCAGGGCGGCGGCATCCCCTGGGCAGCAGGGGGCGCCCCACCGTGGGCAGTGGTGTTACCATCCCCATTAGAGAGATGGGAGTCTGAGGCACGGAGTGGGGAGGGACCTGCCCGAGGCCACACAGAACCAGGGTTTGACCCTGGAGTTCTGGTTCCCAGCCCGCTGCTGTGGCCGCTGGGGCTTGCTGCTGTCTGTGCATGATCCTTGCATGGCACTAGGGGGCAGCGCTTGCCTGCATAGGACTGATCTTTAATGCCTGCGGTTACTTGCTTACAGGAGTGGGGGTGGGGGGTTGCCCTGGAGAGACGGGGAGGGGGTGGAATCTGCTTTGCATTGGTGCAGTGGGGTGGCGTGCCAGCAGGGGGCAGTGAGCTACAGGCCTTATGGGGACACACCCCGCTCTCTCTTGGACTGGGGTTTATCAAGCACCCCAGCTCTGTGCTCCCTTCAGGTGGGGGTCATCCTCCCCCCAGCTGCCCAGCGTGGCACTTGCTCACAGCTCGGGGCGTCACTTGTCCTCTGCCTGCAGGGGGGCCTGCTCCTGGGGGAGCCAGCCTTGGCCTGACAGTGCCCCTCGACCAGCCCATGACACCAGCTGCCAGACCCAGGGTGCAGCTCTGCCAGACGGAGCCAGGCCTGAGTGGGGAGGAAAGGGGGATGCAATAGCAGAGACCCTGCCCCGCACTGCACCCCTTCCCCATGCTGTACCCCCTATCCCCACACTGCACCCCTTCCCCATACAGTACCCCTGCACTGTACCCCTTCCCCATGCTGTACCCCCTATCCCCACACTGCACCCCTTCCCCATACAGTACCCCTGCACTGTACCCCTTCCCCATGCTGTACCCCCTATCCCCACACTGCACCCCTTCCCCATGCAGTACCCCTGCACTGTACCCCTTCCCCATGCTGTACCCCCTATCCCCACACTGCACCCCTTCCCCATGCGGTACCCCCACTCTGCACCCCTTCCTCATGCTGTACCCCCACACTGCACCCCTTCCCCATGCGGTAACCCCACTCTGCACCCCTTCCTCATGCTGTACCCCCTATCCCCACACTGCACCCCTTCCCCATGCGGTACCCCCACTCTGCACCCCTTCCTCATGTTGTACCCCCTACCCTCACACTGCCCTCTTCCATATGCTGCACCACTGTATTGTACCCCTATCCCATGCTGCACTCCCTACCTCCACAATGAACCCCTTATCAATGCTGTATCCCCACACACACTGGACCCCCACCCCCATGCTACATCCCTTAGCCCCACGCTGCACCCCTTCCCCATGCTGTACCCCCTACCCCTGCCCTGCCCCCTTCCCCATGCTGTACCCCCACACACACTGCACCCCCTACTCCCCATACTACACCCCCTACCCCCATGCTGCATCCCTTCCTCATGCCATATCCCTGCACTGCACCACTTCCCCACACCGAACCCTTCTCCCATGCTGTACCCTGTACTTGCACACTGCACCCCTTCCCCATGCTGCACCCCCCACATTGCACCCCATCCCATGCTGTACTCCCTACCCCCACACTGAATCCTTTCTCAATGCTGTATCCCCACTCCACACTGTACCCCTTCCTCATGTAGTCCCCCCTTCCCCTGCACTCCACCCCTCCCCCATTCTGTACCCCCTTCCCCACATTGTATCCCCTACCCCATGCTGCACCCCCATCCCTATGCTGTGCCCCCTCCCAACACTGCACCCACACCCCAGGTTGTACCCTCCTCCCCACTCCTCTAGCCCTTGGTGTCTCATAAAAACAGCTAGACTGGGTCAGACCAAACGTCCATCTAGCCCCGTGTCCTGTTGGCCAGGAGCCCCAGAGGGAATGAACAGAACAGGGAAACATCAAGTGATCCATCCCCTGTCGCCCATTCCCAGCTCCTGGCAAACAGCGGCTAGGGACACCATCCCTGCCCAGCCTGGCTAGCAGGGCACGTACCAGACTTTCAGGGCATCAGTGGATAATGCCTCTGGAAGTTCAGTGTCCCAGCTGGGGAAGCTGCAGTGATGAGGCTGGGTGTCCTGAGAAACCCAGCATCCGTCCCCCGCTTTCAGCTGAGTTCTCCCCCCGAAGTGACCCCCAGGGCAGGGGCTGGGCAGGGTCGGGGAGCAAGCTCAGTCACAGGCCAGCCGAGCCCCATATTATGGGGGATCCCATCTCAGCCCCGCTCCACGTCCAGGCCCCAGATCGTCCAGGCTCCCGAGCCTGGTACCCCACATCTCAAGGGCAGAATCTGTCCCGGTGGGGCAAGGCCCTCATGCAGCCACTGGGCTGCTGGCTGCTGTCCCTCAGTGCCAGCCACAGCGGGTAGCCTAAGGTCCAGTCAGGCGGTGCCAGGCCAGCCATGGGGCTCAAGCAGCATAGAGGTGGGGCTGGCCACAGGGTTCAGGCAACGTAGGGGCAGGGCCGTGTAGGGATGGGGTGGGGCTCTAACTGTGCGGCCAGCGCTCATGGGTGTTTCTTTTCTCCCTCCATTAGAGTTTAAAGTTTAGGGGCGTGGAGCGCACCCCCTACCTGGGGGACGTGGCTGTGGTTGTGCATGCTGGGAAAAAGGAGACGGGGACTCCACTTGCAGATACCCCCACCCGACCTGCCACTCGACATGGGGGCATGAGGGACCTTCACGAGTCCGGCTTCAGCCTATCCGGTAAGAGCGGGGCCGGAGCGTGTGTTAGCGCCCCCTGAAGGGGGGGACCCCAGCGAGAGCGCCGTCCCTCCTGTCTGAGCGAGGGGGGGCTGGTTGGCTGAGAGCAGGACAGGTCAGGGTGCTTGGGCCTCTCGCTCCAGGTCTGGCTGCTGGCGGTTCGGTGCCTGAGTCGACCAGGTAGAGGGAGGCCACATGTCAACGTCACAGACAGGTGCCCAGCAGCGTTCATTGGCCATGCTCTCAGCCGTGGCGGGGGATCTCTCAGGCAGGGACACAGCGTGGGGGACACGCACCAGGCCCTGCCTGGGCTGCCCCGGTCCAGGGTGCTCCGGCAGGCTCTCCCCACCAGCCCCAGCTCCCTGTTCTACCAGCCCACAAGTGGCATGTGGACGAGCTGCTCCCTGCTGCCCCCTATGCCGAGCCCGCTGCCTAGCCGGACGCAGCACTGCCGGCTCCATCCACATACTGCGAGCGCTACCAGAGGCCATGCCGACGTCAGCCCTGCTGCACAGATGGGGAAACTGAGGCAATGTGTTCATTTGTACTGTGGGAGCGCCCATGGGTCCCAACCAGGACCTGTGGCCACTCACCCTGGGCGCTGCAGACACGCCCCTGCCCTGCAGAGCTTCTGGGCAGTGCCTGAGGTCAGCCCTCCTGTTCTTGGCAGAGCAGGGAGAAGCCAGGAGTCCTGGCTCCCAGCTCTCGTTCTGAGCCAGCCTGGTAATGCTGCTATTCCTGTGTCCGTCCGTTGCATGCCCGTGCTCCTGTCGCAGGGGCTGGCCGGTGAGGATTGGCGGGAGTTTCCATGAGTTGTGTGGCTGAGTCTCAGCAAAGCAAGCGCTGGGCAATTAATTGGGGCCTTGGCCATTGTTCGCCAGATACTTGGTGAGTCTGGCAGAGATTTCCTAAACCCTCCCGAATTTCCCCAACACCCCCCCTCCCCCCCCCCAGTGGTCAACTAGCTATGTGCAGTGTTGCCAATTTTGTCATTGGTTGGAAATTTGAATTGAAACTGAAACATTAATACACATTTTAAAAGCAGATACAGTGTATGATAAAATACGTGTTCCTGGAAAAGTGTAATGGGTCTGAAAAGTCTGAACAAAGCCTGGTTTCCTCACACAGCTGTCGTTTTTGCTGACAATGGTGGCACATTGGTGTCGGCGATGCTGGCCAACCTTATAATTTAAAATGATGATTTGTAAGCCAGGGCTGACTGAGCTCTGCCCTGACAGCTCGTGATGAGCCGGGGTTGGGGGAGGCTTCAGGACCAGGCCGTATTTACATGAACTCACATACTCTGCCGAGGTATCCAGCAGCCAGAGCCGTGCTGCCCAAGGGATCGATTTTGGCTGGTGCTGGGTTAAGAATGACTGTAGTATTGAACGTGGGGGTCATGAAATCCTTGTTCTCCTCATTGCTGGAGTAGAGGGCAGCAGACCTGCACTTCGCCCGCCTGCCCACCGGGCTGAGGGGGTCGCCCTCGGTGCATAATTTTCGCCAGGGCTCGGCCCCAGCACCTCCAGGCTTGGCAGTTCAGAGCCCCGGGTTTGCCACATCCGTTATGAAAGTAACAAACTTGCTTGAGCCCCGGCACCTCCTTCCTTACAAATTAAGCCCTGGTCACCTGCAACTGGACTGCGCTTGCTAAGCAAGGGGGTTGGATGGCAGATCCCAGTGGAGGGCGGGGGCAGGGGTGGGACAGGGGTTTTGCATGGTGGTGTGGGCTCTGCGTAAGAGTCACCAGCACTACTGGACTTGCCCCCTCTCCTGTTTAAAAATAGAGCTTATTAGGCTCCACTGAGAGTCTTTTTTGGTTTGTTAAGTGGTCACTAGAGCTGAAATCACTGATAATCAGGTCTAAGTGCTTAGACCTGCTGCAGGACAGTGTTTCTGTAGAAGGAACGGCCCAGCCTGCACCGCTGTGAGGTTCCCCCTGAGAGCTGAAATCACTGAGAGCTGGGTGGAAGAGACCGACTCACGGAGGTCACAGTGGCAGGTGGCAGCAGAAGGTGATGGCGCAGGGCCATCGGCACTGGAATGAACGGTGGCACGACAAACAGCGGCCGGAGCGAGTGGCAAGCAGCTGGAGGAACGAGCAAGGTGCCTTCTCCCCTGTACCCTCCAGGGTGGGAGGTGAACTCATGCAAAAGCACCTCTGAACTCTGGGTCTGCAGTGACCAAGGACAACAACTCTGAATGGGGTGCAGTGGAGGGAGAAGGGAGGGGCATGTTAAAGGGCTACGTTTTAGTGACTTTGCTCCAGAATGCTAGATTTGTGACTAAAACTTATATAAATATACATTTCCTAATAGGCCAGGATTTTTTTTAAAAACGCATTATTTGCCAAAGTCATTATCTCACTTTGTTGCTATCTCGAGAGGCGTTATCTTGGGGAGTTTCTGTACTAAACATTTTTATTATATTATAATTAATTTTTACGTAACATAAGAATGGCCATATTGGGTCAGACCAATGGTCCATCTAACCCTGTCTTCTGACAGTGGCCAGTGCCAGGTGCTTCAAAGGGAATTAACAGAACAAGCAATTATCAAGTGATCCATTCTCTGGTGTCCAATCCCAGCTTCTGGCAGGCAGAGGCTCTCAGAGCATGGTGTTGCATCCCTGCCCATCCTGGCTAAGCGCCATCAATGGACCTATCTTCCATGAACTTATCTAGTTCTTTTTTGAACCGTGTTATAGTCTTGGTCTTCACAACATCCTCTGGCAAGGAGTTCCACAGGTTGACTGTGTGTTGTGTGAAGAAATACTTCCTTCTGTTTGTTTTCAACCTGCTGCCCATTAATTTCATTTGGTGACCCCTGGTTCTTGTGTTACGTGAAGGAGCTTATTCACATTCTCCACACCAGTCAAGATTTTATAGACCTCTAGCATATCCCCTCTTAGTCCTCTCTTTTCCAAGCTGAAAAGTCCTAGTCTTTTTAATCTCTCCTCATATGGAAGATGTTCATTTTTGTTGCCCTTCTGTGTACCTTTTCCAACTCCAGTCTATCGTTTTCGAGATGGGGCAACCAGAACTGCACACAGTATTCAAGATGGGGGAATACCTGGATTTATACAATAAAAATGGAGGAACTTGGTTTGCCAGACAGATCAGTAAAGCCAATTCTGACAAACTATGTGAAAAGGCTGCAAAACACCAATCCTCTGGACTGCATTGACATGAAGAAAGCCTTATAAGCCAGTCATTGTCAAAGCCAATTTTAGAAGTACTTAATGAGGCTGTTAAAAATGCTGGAGACACGGTTTATTCAAACATGGCTGTCACATCATACTTTCATACTAAGCAAGAGATACCACCCACTACAAACTGGAGGCCAATGTTAAGGGCATTGTCATTTGTTAATCCTGAAGTTGGACACTGGTTCTGAGCAAGACCAACAAATGCTCACTGTCTTTCTGCAAGAAACTCAACTGACTGGTTAGAAGCATGTGGGTGCAACAGTGAAAGACTCAGCAGTGACAAGGTGAAGACCTCTCTCACCGCATTCTGAAAATGTGCCTACATGACTGATGAATGCACCGATGCAAATGGGCATCAAGTATTAAGTCACTGCACGTTATCTTGATGTCAGTGGTAGGCCAGTGGATGAATTTCCAGCTGTTCAGGAAATATATATATATATATAGAAGATATATCGGCTGCATCTCTGACAACCCACGTCTTAGAAGAGTTAAATGCTTATAAATTGAACCCCAAAGAGATGGCTGCTTGTGCATTTGATGGAGCTGCAAACTTCTCTAGAAGACATAGTGGAGTACAAGCTTTGCTCAGAGAAAAGTGTAACCCTTGTCTCTCCTATACGCACTGCAGAGGCCATCTACTCCAACTAGCGCTAGGACGAGCTGCAGAATCTTCAAAAGACGTTTAAAAAGCTATAAATGTAATGTCTTCATTCGACTCTTTTTTTCAGCAAGAGTCCAAAAGGACTGAGCGTCTTGGAAAACATAGAAGATCCACTGGGACAGAAGTGCAAATTAGTCCAACCTGGGAAAACCCGCTGGCTTTCTGAGGAGCGATCCCTGGCTGTTGTCTTAAAATTACTCCTGCCTCACTACAAAAGCTACTTTCCCCCTCTTGGTATTGACGCCTCCTCATCATTTATTGGGAGTGGACCAAGTCCACCCTGATTGAATTGGCCTTGTCAACACTGGTTCTCCACTTGTGAGGTAGCTCCCTTCTCTTCATGTATAGTAATGTCTGCATCTGTAATTTTCACTGCATGCATCTGAAGAAGTGAGTTTTTTACCCACAAAAGCTTATGCCCAAATAAATCTGTTAGTCTTTAAGATGCCACTGGACTCCTCATTGTTTTTGTGGATACAGACTAACACGGCTACCCCCTGATACTTAAAACTACTGCAACCATTATTATTGGCTTTGGAAAGTATCTGCCGAGATGGAGCAGATCTAAGTAGGTTTCAGAGTAGCAGCTGTGTTAGTCTGTATTCGCAAAAAGAAAAGGAGGACTCATGGCACCTTAGAGACTAACAAATTTATTTGAGCATGAGCTTTCGTGAGCTACAGTTCACTTCATCGGATGCATTCAGTGGAAAATACAGTGGGGAGATTTTATATACACAGAGAACATGAAACAGTGGGTGTTACCATACAGACTGTAAGGAAAGTGATCAGGTAAGGTGAGCTATTACTAGCAGGGGAGCGGGGGTGGGGTGCGGGGGGAACCTTTTGTAGTGATAATCAAGGTGGGCCATTTCCAGCAGTTGACAAGAACTTGTGAGGAACAGTAGGGAGGGAAATAAACATGGGGAAATAGTTTTACTTTGTGTAATGACACATCCACTCCCAGTCTCTATTCAAGCCTAAGCTAATTGTATCCAGTTTGCAAATTAATTCCAATTCAGCAGTCTCTCGTTGGAGTCTGTTTTTGAAGTTTTTTTGTTGAAGAATTGCCACTTTTAGGTCTGTAATCGAGTGACCAAAGAGATTGAAGTGTTCTCCAAGTGGTTTATGAATG